TCCAAGCCCAGCGGGGAATCTGCTGAGATTCTCTCCTCCTTCTCCCTCTGCCCCTCCCCTCGCTTGTGCTTTTTCTCTCTCTTTCTCAAATATATAAAAGTATCTTTAAAAAGAAAGAAAGATTCACGCAATCCACCCCATCAGAACCTGAAGAAGAAAAATCCCGTGATCATATCACTTGATGCTAAAAAGGCATTTGACGAAATTCTTCAACGGTTTATGATTTCAACAGCAACAACTAAAATTCTCAGCAAGTTAGGAGTAAAGAAACATTATCTAAACTTGATAAAGAAAATCTTCAAAAAAAAAAAAAAAAAAGCCCACAGCTTCCTACCCCCCAGCCCCCACTCCAATCAAGAACCAGACAAGGATGTCTTTTCTCACTGTTCATTCAACCCAGCATGGGAATTTCTAGCCCCTGCAGTATGGTAAGGGAGAGAAACAGAAGGCATACGGATTGGAGAGTAAAAAAATAAAACCGTCTCTGTTTGCAGATGACATGATTGTCTACATAGAAAAATCCCAAAGATATAAACAAACACAAAAACATTCCTGAACTAACAAATGAGCTCAGCAAGGTATCCGGATATAAAATCAACATACAAACATCAATCACATTTCTGTATACTGAGAATGAACGTGCCAGAAGCAAAACTTAGAATAGCATTTAAAAGAACTCCAAAGAAAACCAAATACTTATTGTATGCACTTAACAAACTATGTACTATAACCTGAAAACGATAATTTGCTGATGAAAGAAATCAAAGAAGGCCCAAATAAGTAGAGAGACATACCATGTTCATAGATTGGAAGATTCCACATGGGAAAGATGTTACCTCTCCCCGGATTGGTCTATGGATTTAATACAGTTCCTGTTAAAATCCCAGCAAGTTTTTCTGGGCAGAGACAAGCTTATTTTTGAATTGATATGGAAAGACATAGAGGCTAGAATAGCTAAAACAGTCTTGATATGTGGAATAAAGGAGTTAATAGAGGAGTTGCTCTACACAAAATCAAGTTTTCCTATACGGCATCAACAAAGGATGGCATTGGGAGGGGTAGAATCATAGATCAGTGGAACAGAATAGGGAACATAGAAGAAAGTCAAACGTGCTTAATGAATTTTTGGCAAAGATGCACCAACATTCCGATAGGAAGAGGATGGCTTTCCAACCCACAGTTCTGAAGCAATTAGACACCTACAGGCAAGACAAAACGAAATGAAACTCCACCAAAACTTTACATATTGTACCAAAATTAAACCAAAATGGATCACAGAAGGAAACAGAAAACTATAGAACTTTTAGGAAAAAAAAATAGAGAAGAAAATCTTTGGGTCCCAAAGGTAGGCAAAGGGATCTTAGACACAACACCTAAAGCATAACCCATAAAAAGAAAACTGGATAAAAGTGGAAGCTTTTGCCCTGTGAGAGATCACGCGAAGGAGGTAAACAGAGGAGGCGCCTGGGCGGTATGGATGGTTAGGCATCCAACTCTTGGTTTTGGCTTAGGTCATGATCTTGGGGTCCTGAGATGGACCCCTGGGTCGGGCTCTGCACTCAGCTTGGAGTCTGCTTGAGATTCTCTCTCTCCCTCTCCCTCTGCCCCTTCTGCTTGTGCGCTCTCTCGCTCTCTCCCTCTCTCAAATAAATAACTAAATCTTGAAAGAAAGAAAGAAAGAAAGAAAGAAAGAAAGAAAGAAAGAAAGAAAGAAAGAAAGAAAGAAA